CACATATAACGTAGCTTTTTAATGGTGAAAGAATTTTTTAAATCGGCCCAGTAGTTTTAAAGTTATTTCAATACATATAAAAATACAAATCGTTTCTCTTTATAATATTAGTATAGAACACGTAAGTGTCTTCCGTGAATATTGTTGTTTCTAGTTTCTGTCACTAATTACGACGACAGTACCTTTTTATATTCGGTTTTAAAAACGCACAATACAGGGTTAAGAAACGACATAATCACAAATGGTGATAATCATAAACACTCTATGTTATTACGGCTTAGGCTTAAATATTTTAATTAATAATTACAACAGTTTAAAAGGGTGTTAATTTGACATAATATCCATTAAATTTGATATACGAGTATCCTTAATTTTGTAGTATATAGATTTCAACGCTCTTTAAATTACTATGACCATCATAATAATAATAAAAAAATATCTTTAATAATACTGTTATTTAAAATAAATGAAGATGTTAAAACAATTGGACTGTTATGTTCAATAACAATAATATTCTCACTAATGTAATCAACGTAACGTATTCATATACAGGCACAGGTCTGGTTACTCGCTTTATGCTTTTGATTACACGATAATTTAGTATAAACTGCATTTATGTATGTAATTATGTAATGTCAAGATACCTATGTAATAGCTGATGTTGTAACTAACGGACAATTAAAAAATACTACGTTTAAATTGCTCGACAAAGCGGAATTAAAACGATAAGATTATCCTATGAATGTTTTTAAACGGTAATAACTGTTAGGCAATAGTTTAGTTGGTAATAAACATAGAACTTTACATATATTTCCAAATAAGATGACTAAAGTTTAACTAGTAAGCTAAAATAAAACTATATTTTTATTATTTCAGCAGATATTGTAAGTAACAAATAGTATTATGTGTGACGATTATCAAAAAGTCCTTAAAAAATCACGAATCAAATTAATCGTATTTCGTCGTTGTAGTTCAATAATACGGATGTCAAAAATAGCAACTTTTCAGGAGAGAAGAACTACATATAATGCACTGTTTGTGTACATAATTTTAGTTTTACTAGCTTTCGTCTCCTTCCGCGTGGAATTAAAAAATACAAAAGTGAGTAGCTTATGTGTTCTTCCAGACTATCCTCTACATCTATGCCAAATTTCATTGAAATCTGTTCAGCCGTTTAGGCTACAAACTCTAACAAATATCCATCTAAACTTCCGCATTTATAATATTAGTGTGAACTATGATTTAATGTAGAATTCATGTTTCTTATAGGCTGAAACGATGCGTCTTTCGATTCTCTAGCGAACGGCATCAAAATGTCAGAATCAGAATAGCCAAAAACTGACTTATGTGGTGTTAGAACTTCAACGACGATTTGTTTTTTTTGTAGTAAGCTAATAACGTTTGTAGCGAAAAGTAATTGAGACAATTTAATTGGCAGAATATATGTAGTGTATAGTTGTATTTAGAAGCCGTCTGGTTCACAGAGCACGTGAGTCTATTGATCTGAAGTCACTGAGGGGTCGGAACTTGACAGCGTACTTTTCGGCAATTCATATTGTCTTTGTTACCGTCTAGCAAAACAATAGAATGATTTTCTGCGATTTTAACGCTTTAGAGTGCGCGCACAACTTTGACTTAAATGTCACACAACTGTTTAGTCGCTTTGATTCCTATAAGCTTATATGGAGGTGACAACACTACTCGATTTTTAGTGTGCAACTAAACAATTTGCTGCGAAACAATGGACAATCGCACGACAGTTGTGCGATTGTTTAGTCAAAAGTGGGCACCCATTAATAGGAGTCATCTTTCACGTTGTACTATAAAAGAAAAGGGGGAGGAAGGGACTTATATTTGGCCGAAGAAGGGTATAAAAAACAAAAGAATACTTTACTGTAAATTTCATGTCAATTCCATATCTAATAACATGACCTAATGTTGATATACTCTAAAGAGGTTTTAATTACACTAATAGGCACACATCTCAACCATTGACTCGTCAACTTCAGTTAGCCCTGGTTTGAAAGATTTACGACATAAAATCGTAATTGACACGACCACTAACATGGTAAGCTAACCGCCTATCATTGATTTTAAAGGCCAACGTGTGGAAAAGTAGCTCCAGACGAATTAGAATTTTTAACTCTTTCCTTTTTGTATTACGGCGTTTGTTAGAATCTTGCAGATATAATAATATAGGTACGGTTTACGTATAGATAACACTTTAAAAAAAAGGTTCATTTCAAGGTTTCAAATTCTTTGAAGTTTATAAAAGTGTTTTAAAATAAAAACTCTGTAAATTTACAAATCTATCTAATAAGATTAAAAAACATATGAGCCTTACTGTAAAAAGCGCAAAAGTAACCTGAAATCGGTTTCATGCTGGCATTTCGCAAGCATTGTAGCGAACGTGTCGGGTCAACCATTATGGATGGTCTTTTAGATGTCTCACAAAGATAAATTACGTTGTTTCATCAATCTAAAATGCCAAATGGATAACGAAATATCAAATTTAAGCTTCCAATAAGCTTCCCATAAGTTTGTTTACGCAATATGCGTAGCTTCAAATGTTTACATTAATAAACGATCAATTTTAACATTTTACAAACAAAGCTCTAAAACGAGCACTTCTTATTTGGTATTTTAGTCTACATTAAATTAACGAGTTTTTATACGTATGACGCACTCTTTAACGTAACTACCGACCGAGATTGTAATATAAACACTACGGTAGTAGGTGTGTTTGAAGCTATTCAAAATCTTTACATTCCAGTAGATTTTTGTATAAAATTAAGAAGTTTTAAGACCTTAACTATAAGTAAATTTAATATTTGACTGCTTCCGACTCTTTCGTATTCAAAAAGCTACAATTCAGTGTCATACAACATAACCTGTTATATTTGATTGTAGCTATTTAGATATTTATAACGTTCAATAGCTGTTCCTAAACGTTTCGTTGACAATATCACTGCTCAAAGGACAGACAGGCAAAAAAGGCGACATGAATAAACGTTTATTGTTCTCCAAACTTCGATAGGAGTCCAGCATCCTGCGTCCTGCGCGTACAATGTGTAGTTTAAAATGATAAAAGATTATATGAGCATCGAATACTTACCGGATCGCTATATTTATTTTTCTCTTCACAGATGTCCAAAGCCCGCATTTGCGAGGAACGTAAGCCAGGATGGGAATCGCTCCGATACACGGTATAAATAGTGGGCACTCTCCGAAAATATACGGGTTATGAGTCGGTATGCACTTGTATGTTTTAAGTTGCGAGACAATGGCCCGTGACGCACGTATACAAACGCCTCGATCGGCGGCGCGCGGCGTACTGACTGGTCGCCGTATATTCGTATAGGTTATGTTGTGGGGGGCTCGGGTCGGAAGCACGGCGCGCCGCCGGGACGTCGGGCGAGGGACCGTGGCAGAAGGGCCGCAACCCGACGTCGACGCGTTTTTTGTCCCGTCTAATATTAGCAACAGTCTGTTCGAATCCTCTAACAGAGGGTTTTTACAGACTAAACGTTTACTCATATTGTACTCTCGTTTTATCTTTAAAAAACTAAGACGATTAATCGAAAAGGCAAATCTAGGGTAAACAAGTAGGATAAAGCTCAGATCTCCCCCTTATTGAAGTAGATTTACATTTGTAATTTTATTAAAAGGTTATCATTTCGTCAATTAATGATTTATTGTATTTTTTTACATATTTGTACATTTGCTATATACCATCTGAATTTACAATGTTTTTGCACATAATCTCACATAGTACGTCTATCGAGTTTGATTGTGGAGAAACCACGGATTGCACAATTCAGCAATATCTAATTCCAGCTTAAGTCGGCTATCAGACATCCGGAAGTACTGCCGACACAAGGAAGTAATTCGAGATCGTATTGCAAAATTTCCTTATCAACCTCTTGTTTGTGGCACGTATTGTTTCATTATTATCATACTTGTACTACAAATGCGAAAGTTTAGATGGATAAATGTTGAGTTTGTAAACTAAACTGGTGAGGTGGTGGTCAGATATCAAGGTGAATCAGTTTCTATGGTTGTAACCTGTTATGTTCCTTACATTGGTGACATTGAATTTCAAATGATTAAAATCGACTTTTTTAAATTTGATAATTGCTAATTCTGATCTACATTACGACATAGTTGAATATATATAAAATGTTGAAGAAATATTATTACTAAGTTGCCTAATAATTTAAATTTAAATGAGAATAAAGTTAAATAAAAAATGTTGCAACAGATATCGTAGATTTTAAACTTAAGAGATGACTTTTACTAACTTAAAATTTGAAATAAATGTACTTTCACATGACGTAGAAGAGTAAGTGCTTGTCCCACCAAATTATAAATTGTCTAATTCAATCCAACGTGTAAAATATGTGATGGAAATGTCGGATTTTGTTCCCTTATCTGACAGTGATGTCATTTTTAAACTATCTGAGCCTCTATCAGCCAGTGGTGGGACAGGCCCTAATTATCCATCGCTTTTTATGATAAAAGAAGAATAGATATATTGCGGCATTCTTTGATACTGTAGTCGATTCAATAACTAAATCAATTTCTGAATGTATTTTTAAAAGAGTTATCAGTGAAACGTAGTTTTAGGACACGATCGCATACCTGGCGTAAGCAATACTACCTGCTTAGTTTTAACATCTCAGAGTTTAGGTCAATGAATGATAAAAACATCCAAACGTCAAATAAATATCTAACATTACTATAAATGGATAAAATCTGTGCCAGGTATAAACATGCCGGAGATTAAATTTTAATCTCTTTTCACGTTTTTCTTTTAAGGGGATGACGGGATGGAAAAGGGGATTTGATAATGGAGGAGACGCATAGGAATGCGAAGTAGCCTGTTTATGTGGGTCTCCTCCTCCGTCGATTAAGGGTAGGCAACGCATCTGCAATTGCGGATGTCTATGGGCAGCGGTCGTTGCCCATTTTGGCGGATTCAAGTGGGCGGTTGCTCGTAATAAACGTTTTACGATTCCCAAGTACATATCTGTTATAAAGTTTAACATAAAGGTTAGCTAACCTAAACATCACTTTAACTTCTATACAATATCAGCGTATTTTTCAAACAATGCCACTAGATTATAAAATTTATCTCTCATTGTTCTGTAGGACCTTGGGCTGACGTTTTAGACGCGCTGACGACTATGCTAACACAAACAGATAAGTCACACGAGACTTACAAATGCTAAAGCAATTTTTGACAAACTTGGAATAGATGTAGAGCATAGTCTACAAGAATACTTAGGGCCTGTCCCACCAAATTGTAAATAATATATAACAGTATAGTATTCTGATAACAATCCAACGTGTAAAATTTGCTGTGGAAATATCGAATTTTGTTCCCTTATCTGACAGTGTCGTCATTTTTAAGCTATCTGAACCTCTAGCAGCCAGTGACGGGCCAGGCCCTTAGGCGGAATTACGGATCTCTAAGAATTCTTAGCAAATGACGTCACTGTATTTACAATGTAACGATTTTTGTACATGTTTCGCTTGTGTTACGAGGTCGGAGTCTATTTTTGTTCTGTGATGTACCGAGTGTAACAGAGCTTTATTAGCGCTATAGTAAATTATTAAACTAACAGCCGCTTCAAAAGAAACAGACGAATATCGATATGGTTTTTTTTAATTTCCTTGTACATACTTATAGCTCAAGTACATGTGGTAATGTCTCTTCCAATGTTTAACCTCTAACTAAGGAATCCGAATAAATGAAACATTTCCGATTATTTTCAAATCTATACTAGTCTATACTTATATTAAAATAAAGCGTAAACACACACTTCTTTGATACCTAAGACGTCAGCAATTACAGCATATTTTTGAATAATTATTTCTTTAATAAAAAGCCTCACACTTACGACACGCTTTACGCTATCTATTTTCAAATTAAACTAAGGGATCAGTAAATAAGAAAAAACCTTAATGTGTGAAAAGAACCATAAACTACAAGCCAACATTAAGAAAGAAAAGTTGTTATATTGTATAATTTCATATGAATGAAGCCACTTGGGAACAGCTAGTTCTCGATAAAAAAAAATAACTTAATAAGATTTCTACGCAGAAATAAAGCAAATAAAAGTAGGGTTAAACTACTTGCTAGGACAGTTCCAATTAACGAGTTTAACATGCGTGCTGTAACTTAACACGCAGAATATTTCACTTCAATAGTTTCTCATCGGCACACAGAGGTCGCTGTCTTACTTTTGTTTTATTTTCATTTACACGTCTAGACATCCACTATCTACAGGATTACTCACGTCTAACAAACCGTTAAGCGCAATTTTATTTATAACTGGTCCTTTATAAAAGAAATTTACTTTGTTGCCTTTAAATAAATCCGTAATTAATTGTAAATTTTACTATTATAATTGCTAATAAAGTTTAGATGGATGGATGTTTGTTACATTTTGTAGAATAAACTGCTAAACGGATGTCGATTAAAATTTGGAAAAGATATAGAGCGTAGTCTGGAAAAAAACATAGGCTACTTATACTTACTTTTGTTTACTTAATTCTAAGCAGATGGAATCGCGGGCAATAGCCAGTGGTACAAAAAATCCAATATATGACAAAAACTAACACATTTCAAAATCAATACAAAAAAAGGCAAAGGAACGGAAAACCGCAATTTTTATCAAGTATATTTGAATGGCCACATTTTTTTATTAATATAACTATTTTAACTATAGAGCGATAAGTTATCTAAACCGGCATAAGTGTAACTAAGTTACAATTGCTTAGTAGACATCCTTTTATGCCGTTTTCTATGTTCATGTAGCTTTTAAATATTTTCTAACTGATATAAATATATAAGTAGGACTCTAAATAGGACTTTCACTACCACAAAACTATATGAAATCTAAAATAAAACTACCTTAGAGATTGTAAAATAAATATGTAGCAAAAAGGTGTCAAACTCTGCTAATGCAGGGACGGCGCTTCTTCTGCGCTGGTTTTCAACTAGCTCCTTTAAACAAAAGTATTGACACAAGGGTGACTTAACCTAGAGAGACATTAAAAAGATAAATAAATAAAGAATTGTATAATAATAATACAATAAGATTACAATTTTTAAATAAAAAATAACCGATAGACAATCTCTCAACGAGTCTATATTAATATTATAAAATTTCAAAAACCGTTAAAAAGCTACGTTGTTAGTGAGTAACATAGGCTATGTTTTATATTATTTTTTAATTTGACGCAGACGGAGTCACTGGCGAAAGCTAGTTTGAATATCAAATTGAGATATTGCAAAACGATAGGTGTATGTCATATTTTCTACTAAAATATCTTATAGCTTTTACGTTCTGTGTGTTGAGCTTTGCAATTTTATTATGTTATCACATAAATATATGATATACGCTTAATAAGACAGCTACAAACCTGTAAACTTTAAAGCTAGATTACTCAAAATTTACGACCAAATTCTATTCAAGTTTTCAGGAAATGTAGTAAACCTTTTATGTTAATATTAATATGTTTTCTACAACGATATTTAGAGGCTTTATAAATGGTTCGTATACCTTTCTATTCATATTAAGTCATATGTCAGCAATAATTTTTTTATAATATATGTTCCGAATGAATGTATTTAAAATTTTGTTTTTAAATTTACAAAAAAATTGTTTATGTATATTTAAAATCGTAGTGACATAGTAAAAGTAGAGCTTTTTAAACAGTGAAAGAAGTTTTCAATTCGATCAAATATTACAAAGATTCTAGTACAATTAATTATTCTAATATAAGCTAAGCTAATATATTCTAAGCTAATATAATCTAACAGTGGTAGTGCCCGCTTTAACATCTTAGCACTGCAGGGCCGGCACGCCCGGTGTAATACCACGACCACACAGAAGACAAGCGTGAAATGGAAGCAATTCCGTGTTTCGTCTGATGAGTGTGGTGCCGGGGGCCTAATTTAAGTCCCTTTCTCTTTATCACCCTTTTCTTATAAGGAGAGGATGGGAAGGGGAAGTGGAGTTGACGGTGGAGGAGATGCATAGGAAGGGGACATATCCTCTTTATATGCGTCTCCTCCTCCGTCGTATAAGGGTAGGCAACGCATCTGCAATTGCGGATGTCTATGGGCAGCGGTCGCTTCGCCATTTTGGCGGATTCAAGTGGCCGCTTGATCGTTTGCCACCTTATGTTATATAAAAAAAAAAGCATTAAAAGAAACAAGACATTGTAACTAAACTAGCTTTCGTCCGCGATTCCGGTCGCGTAGTATTAAAAAAAAGTAAAAACCTTACGTGTTCTTCCAGACTATCTTCTACATGTTTATGAAAATTGGTTGAGTATA